GAAGGACTCAGGCGTTGACGGTCACTATCGATCCTGTGAAAACAATTGAAAGAGTAGCTGACGATCTTTTTGTAGACAAACTATTAGAGCCAATTTATCACCGATGTGGCTATACCATGACTGATGACGAGGATGGTGATGTGGATGATGAGAATCTGGATCTTGACTTTTGATATCTGTATTTTCTCATCTCATGTCCGATGTCTTTTCTTTCTACCCGCTTATTTGACAAGTTTTGATCAAGTTATTTTAAAAAATGATAGTTGTTTTTTGGTTTCCTAATCCTGACCAAGTGTTTTAAGACAAGAAGGCAGAGTCAATTGATTCACTATTGAAATGAAATATTGGGTTTTTAAGTTGATCAAGTTTTTGAGTTGATCAAGTTGCAAAGCAAGTATTCAAGAAGTGACCAATCAAGATTCTTCATCTCATCTTGATTGGTCACTTTAGTTTTTAAGTCGATCAAGTTGCAAAGCAACTTTTTAAGAAGTGACCAATCGAGATTCTTCATCTCATCTTGATCGGTCACTTTTTATCTCGAGCGGTCATGGTCACTTTAGTTTTTAAGTCGATCAAGTTGCAAAGCAACTTTTTAAGAAGTGACCAATCAAGATTACTTTTTATCTTGATCGGTCACTTTGATGATCGATAATTCAACCTTTCTATCTAGGTCAATCTGACTCAGATAGGTTACTATGGCTAACACAGCATTTTTCATTACAAGAAACCAACTCGAACCAAATTTAGGAGGAAGGATCTTTGAACAATATATGTACAAAGGGGTGGTGATTGAGACATTGGCGCTCACAACAAATCATAAGATATGTAGTAAAATAATCAAATTTGAAAAAGATCAGAATGGTTCCTTTGATCAATCTGGTAATTAGAGGCCTTGTCTAACTTTTTTGGCCTCGGTTCTTTTGTGGATCTGAGATTCTCTATATTTAATAGCATTGTTGTAGACCATTGTAGCAGTGATATTAGGAAGTCCTTTGTTAAGAAGATCTTGTCGTGATAACTCTTTTTCATTGATTAGTCGGTAGTCTGTGACCGACAATTCCTCAAGGATCCGCTTGATGTTGTTTGTCTTTTCAGCGGAGAACTTGCAGAATTCAAGGAATCCGTTGATCCCGGTTTCGCTGGAAGGATCATCGGCAAGAGGAGGCGAAGGTGAGAGTGCTCGTTGGGCTTCGGGACTGGCTGGTCGTTTCGCTGGCTGAGGTGTCATTGGATTATTTGGTTCTTGCTCGTGACCTGGAGGCTTAGTAGGGGACCGACTAGCTTCGATGGCGGCAACCATTCCCACAAGTAGCTCAGTAAAACCCGGCAGGATTAAAGGGGGCAGACGATGACGATGGTTGAGGGGAGTCATGCTGTTTTGCTGAGGTCTTTGTGAGATCATACTTGAAATGAGCCGGTGGGGTAGTGAGGCTAACCTCATCATCGTACTAGAGTTTAACGTTCAATTGTTCACAATCAATACACTATAATTGAATTGAAAGACAGTCTGGACTTACACGGTGTTTGGCCCACTCTTTAGCCTTTTTCGATGTCAAGGCGAAATACCAAGTTGAATCCGTTGGGTCAATGATCGGAGGGTATGTCTTATTGTACTTCTTGTTCATTTCATGTTTTTCAAAGAGTTTGTTTGCAAAAGCCGTTACAGCATCATTTTGAGAGTTCATTGAGCTGTCTGAATCACCGTTCTGGATGTGGAGATGATGTAAGCATCCAAAGAGAGAACGTTGGAGAATGAAGATGGTTACAGACTCACCTCAGGATCAGATTCAAAGTTATCTGATGGCCTCAATGCCTGACGCTTTTCCTGTTGTTCGGCATGCGCTATCACAGCATCAGTTTGGGCAGCCTGCAAGGTAAGGATGTCAGCTGCATCAAATCCAGGGATAAATTGGACACTGTACTCACCGCCTCGGCTCGTGCCTTGAGCTTGCTCGGATGCGGAGCTACAAATGAAATCCCAGCCTTATTTTTAGGATAACTTGCATGTGCCTCTTCAACCCACGATTGAAAATTGCTGTGATCTAACACTTTGCGGTTCATGTTTGTCTTTGGAAAGCTGTGGTTTGAAGCAATGTATAGAGTCCAAACCCCCCCACTCTCCTCATCGAAAATTAACTTGTTGAGTACAGACTTGATGTGCGCCCCTGTGTTGTCACTTTTGGCAAGTTCAGCGCATTTTAACTTGAGTTCATCTAAATTGAAATTGTTCGAATCCCATTCAATCGTACAGTTGGAGCAGGTGATTTGGTGAAACCCAGACTTGTTTTGCTTGTTGGGCACGTAGAAATCGCAGTTAAAGTTGAACTTGAAGGGGCCATCTTCATCTTCTGCTGCACGATTTTCAGAGTTGCCCTTGGTCTTTGAAGCACAATTGACCTTTGAAATTTTGAGGCGAGTCAGTCTAGATATAAGAAAAAAGAATAGATACAGAAAGTGAGACATACCCCATTAGTCAAATCTGCTAAGACTTCTGGTCCAGATGATTCAGATCTAGAAGACAATCTTTTGTTCTTGTTGGTTTGGCTGATACCGAGAAAGATTGGATCCAGATGTTGGTTTTCGCTCATGGTTGATTTTGATTGTACAAAGAACAAGAGCTAGAGAAGGAAATTCAAATCAGGAGTGATGGATCATTCTCAAGCAAAAAAAAATTCATCACAGCAGCTGCGGTGACTGCGGCAACTGCGGCAACTGGAAACTTTTTTTTTCTCGGGCCAGGGGTGCCATTCATTTTAGAAAAAGTAATACAAACTAGAAACCCGGAACAAATCCGGGTTTCCCAATTCGGACTTTTTGGCTGTGTTTGCGCAAACTGGGAAACTGGGAGAACGTGGGAAAGTTCCAAACACAGCCAAAAACGAAAACTGGGAAACTGGGAAAAAAAACCCAGTTTTAACTTTGTATCCCGTAAATGGAAAGTACAAAACTGGAAAATCTACAGTCCCCCATGAGGATTTACACAACACCATACGCCTGCAAAGTGATACAGCTGTTCTAAGAATTTGTGTCATGGTCGAATTTTTTTTTTTTGTTTCTTTGACACCTCCATTCAAATGACTGCCCATACAGACGCTGTATACTAGGTCGTGTATAACATATCTTAAGCTAGGTCAGTAGTTCCCCCCCAACTACCAACCCATCCGGTTCACCGGAGACACCTACTCACTCACCGATTAGCCCGATTGATTCTTCAGGTAGCCCAATTTCCCTTCTCTCCATCACTCATCACCTCTCTTCTGACTCATCTAAAACCACCTTCCAGAGATGCCACGTCCAGGTAAATACAATGTTGGTATTAAGGTGTTGGCGGTTCAATATCTGCGAGCCGGAAGGACGATTGACGCTGTACGACGTCTATTGAAGTCGTCCGTCAGCCCACGCACCATTTCGCGATGGCACGCTTTATACCGACGCACGTACTCCGTGGTTCGCAACCCTGCCGATTATGCCAAACTGGGTAGGAACACAAGGTTGACAGATGAAGATCGAGACTTTGTGATTGAGCTACTCGAAGGCAATCCCAGTCTCTACCTGGACAAGTATCGAAATGCGGTGTATTGACGAACTGGAAGTTGGCTCTGCCTAGCCACAGTAGCAAACGATCTCAAGAAGCGGCTCAACGTGTCTGTCAAGAAGACTCGTACTGTGCATCCAAGCCAATGCCCTTTAAAGCGAGCTAGGTATCTACACGCGGTGGGAGGACTTACCCCGGACATGCTCGTCTTTCTAGGTGAGCTGATGAAAATTTTATTTTCTTTATGATTTGTTTTGTCTTCATGAGACCGGCCAAATGCTAACAAACAGTAACACGCTTTTTCATTTAGACGAATGCTCCATTCAAGAGAGATACCTCAGACGCGAACATGGCCGAGCGGTCCGCGGGCAGCGTAC